ATGTACGTAATGAAACCCAAGTCATGTGACTATCATGTGACCCTGCTTTCCTTATATAGTGATGGTTCCATTGGATCTTCCTGAGAATGGAATGGACGCTTCAAATTTCGGGATGCTTGGCCTAGGGGACATTGTTATACCAGGTATGGAAACCTCTTTTAATGTTTAATAATTTGTATTTATTTTTTTGTAGGACTTTTTATTGCCCTCCTCTGTCGATTTGATTTCAAGTAAGTTTATAATTTTATTGTTTGCAAATTAAAAATTTTCATTTACTTTTTGTGTATTTTTGTAGCCACCACCCATCAAAATTTAGAGGTTACTTCTACACCAGTTTCATAGCTTACATCATTGGTCTTGGGACCACCATTGCCATCATGCACATATTCAAGGCAGCACAACCAGCTCTACTGTATCTGGTACCAACTTGTGTTGGTCTACCTCTTGTACTGGCCTTGATCAGAGGAGAACTTGGACCACTTTTTGCGTAAGCCATATCAGGACATTGTTAATGTCACCATTATGTCCACACAATGGGGTACAGCATAAGATGTAGTCAAAGACATGTGTATTTGTAAATTTGCATTGTTACTATAGAGTCTTAACATGTACCCCATAATGGTGTCCCTAACATCATAACATATGTTCAAGCCTTCAAGGTCTTGTGTACTTGTAAATTAACAATGTTACTATTGAGTCTTAACATGTGTACTGTCACAATGCTACAAGGTGTGTCCAACATCATAACATGTGTTCAGGTCATGTACATTGTTATAATAATTACTTGCAGTCAACATGGCTACACCTTGGGTTGGTACACAATAATACCCTAGCTCCTGATTATGAACCTGCCCTTATTTCAGAGGTTCATTAATACACCATTTCTATTGTATTGGGACTGATACTACCTGTCCTCATTATAGAGGTGTCCTTATTTTAGAGTGTCCACAATAGCTTATCCTTAAATATGTGTATTTCATGTATAGGCCTTGTCTGATTTATGATTTATCTTTCCCACTCTTTCCTCTCCCTTTCTTTCTCTTTTTTTTCTAGTTATGAAGATTATCCTTCAAAGAAGACGCCGACTGACTCAACAGCAGGAGATGGTGTCAATGGTAGCGATGAAACTATTCACAATGATCCAAATCAAGATGACGGAGCAGCTGCTAAAAAAGAGTAACATTTACAAACATCTTTAATTCTTTTTTCCCTCAGTTAGGCCTATGATTATTATTATTATTATATATAGCCCTCTCTTGTTAATATTTAATATTATTATTATTATTATTATTATTCAATTATTTACTTTTTTCAAGTCACAAAAATAACAACAAAAAAGTTAAAATTAAACTAAAAAAACAAATAAATAATAATTTAAAATAATTATAAAAATCTATCAACACATTCCACTTGCAAACAATGTAACACACAAAATTTGTCAACAAAAAAAATAACACAATTTACCAGTGAATGTTCTAATAACTACAGTGGGGGAAGTTGATACAACCTAAAAATAGAAACAATGATGTCATACTATTAATAGAACAGTCGGCTATAAATAGAACACTTACCCAGGTGCAGTAGGTGGAAAAGCTGTATACTTTAATGAATTCTTCTTCACCAAAATGGGCAACGCCCCCGAGAGACGAAGTACGTTTAAAGCTAATCGGAAAGACCGAAATTGCAGCCCATAGCAACGAGAGAGTAAAGAGACCTCCTGTAAGGTGGTGATGGCTTGGGATCGGTATATACCGGAATCACAGACACATAGCGAGACACCACCTAATCTCTGGATCAGCTCAGAGGAGAGAGAGAGGATTTCAGTGCCGGACGACATTGGTTCTTGAATGACTCCTTCCAGCTGGATCAGTAGTTTTTCCATTGCGTCCAGCGGCCGTTTGACCTCACCTAGTTTTATAGTTTGCTCGATGGAGTCCTTAGTGGTGTCTGTCACCTTGCTTAACTGATATTGCCTTTGGAAAAATAAATAATAAAACAAACAAATATAAACTTATCAGCATTTAAAAATTTGCCAAAAATCTGAAAAATACCCAAGGCTATAGCCCATGCTTTTTTCTGAAAAATGGCTAAAAATTTACCCCCAATTTTTATTACATTTTCTGATGCATATTGATGTCCTTATGCTGTGTAGAAATTTTGAGCTCATTCCGACTTAAATTTTTCAAGTTACAGCCATTTTAAAAAATTTGCCAAAATCTGAAAAATACCCAAGGCTATAGCCCATGCTTTTTTCCAAAAAATGGCCAAAAAATCACCCCCAATTTTTATTACTTTTTCTGATACATATTGATGCCCTTATGCTGTGTAGAAAGTTTGAGCTCATTCTGACTTAAATTTTTCAAGTTACAGCCATTTTAAAAAATTTGCCAAAATCTGAAAAATACCCAAGACCCATGCTTTTTTCCAAAAAATGGCCAAAAAATCACCCCCAATTTTTATTACATTTTCTGATACATATTGATGTACTTATGCTGTGTAAAAAGTTTGAGCTCATTCTGACTTAAATTTTTCAAGTTACAGCCATTTTAAAAAATTTGCCAAAATCTGAAAAATACCCAAGGCCCATGCTTTTTTCAAAAAAATGGCCAAAAAATCACCCCCAATTTTTATTACTTTTTCTGATACATATTGATGTCCTTATGCTATGTAGAAAGTTTGAGCTCATTCTGACTTAAATTTTTCAAGTTACAGCCATTTTAAAAAATTTGCCAAAATCTGAAAAATACCCAAGGCTATAGCCCATGCTTTTTTCCAAAAAATGGCCAAAAAATCACCCCCAATTTTTATTATATTTTCTGATACATATTGATGTACTTATGCTGTGTAAAAAGTTTGAGCTCATTCTGACTTAAATTTTTCAAGTTACGGCCATTTAAAAAAATTTGCCAAAATCTGAAAAATACCCAAGGCCCATGCTTTTTTCAAAAAAATGGCCAAAAAATCACCTCCAATTTTTATTACATTTTCTGATACATATTGATGCCCTTATGCTGTGTAGAAAGTTTGAGCCGATTCCGGCTTAAATTTTTCAAGTTGCGGCCATTTTAAAAAATTTGCCAAAATCTGAAAAATACCCAAGGCTATAGCCCATGCTTTTTTCCAAAAAAATGGCTAAAAAATCACCCCAATTTTTATTACATTTTCTGATACATATTGGTGTCCTTATGCTGTGTAGAAAGTTTGAGCTGATTCCGACTTAAATTTTTCAAGTTATGGATATTTTAAGAAATTACACTGTTAGCCCATGCATCATTCATGCTTACAATTGGCTCCAAGCCACTCCCAGTTTTAATCATACATTATCTACTTCACCCACACATACTTTACTCCTTCACAGTAGTCCCTGAGTGTGACGTAAGATGCTTTATTAATTTCTTGCTCCACCTTAAACTGGCTGCTGGTTTCACTCAGCTCCGCTAGTCCATTATTAAACAACAGAGGGTACACTGGTACGCCCTCGTCAGACGTCAACTCTTCCGGAAGGTTCTCCATGAGGTTGCTAGGCAATGAGAATGTCACATGTAACCTGTTGTGGTCGCCGGATAT